TGCCTTGAACCACTGGCGGGTGGGAAATGGGGTTGCGAGGGAAGGGCTTGGCGGTAACCACCTAAAAATTCATTTCAGGGGGTGACATTGAAACTTAGAACTCCTAGAATGACATTGGTATCTAAGGCAATCTAATGGCAACTCCCTGTCCCACCAAATTCAGCCTAAGTGTTTGTAGTGCTGTTTCTGCTAGCTATCATAACACTTTAGCACCCAAGTTATATTTTTGTTTGGTTGAGGTTTGGAGTCTTAAAACTAAAGAGCTTCCCGTTTGTTCGAGTCTCCTTTGTCTACCTTTTTATTGTTCCTTAGACAAGCAATTTAGTAACTTTTGGATTAACCGGACTCCACAGCGTAATTTCTTTCAGCGACTCGGTCTTGTAGGGCAGCTTTTCTCAGCTCCGCTGATTTCAAGGGCAAGAGCCGTTTCCTTATCTTCTGTCTGCTTGGTGGGGCCCCGCGATTTAGATATTGCAGGCAACAGTTAAGATCGTCCCCTACATTGGACTACATATATAAGCCTTTCCTAGGACAGAGAGACTCTCTTTCTCTCTCCGCTGCCCCAAAACGTTCCTCACATAATGGGGGATAAATCTTACTGATTTCCATCTTCTGTGCGGTGCAGTCTGGAGGTGCAGCCGAGATGAAGTCGGCGGGGGAAAGCTTCGTCTGAATAAAGCTCCTAGTTCCTTCGTGCCTGTTTCTGCGCTCACCCTCCTCCGATTTGGAAAGCAGTTCATTAGAGATGTAATCCCTTGGGATCGATAGCCTCCTTTCCTGATAAAACGACTCGACCGTCAGGCTCCCAAAGCCAAGTTAACGGCAAGGCAAGTGGAGGCAACCGCTCCATTAAAAACTACCTCCAGAAGCCGGAGAAATAAACGCGGATGATACCGCGCATCAAACAGTGCAGTTCTTTAGAACAACCCAAAGACTCCTGGGGGTGGAGGACATGTCCCGCGGGAACCGAGGAGTTTCCCGTTGTTGTTGTTTTTTTTCAAATCACGACTTTTCACAGTGCTAGAAAAAGTATTTTCAGCAAGATTTAAACTTTTTTTCTTAACAAAAAAAAAAGTTTGTACCCAATCTCGACTTTGGGGCGAGAAGGTCGTTCTTGATTCGGAGGTGTCGCCAAATCCTTTTGCTCTTCAAATCAAAGTTCCCTTCAGTTATCGCACAAACCCTGGAGCGGCTTTTGGACGCCCCGTCCTGGGCTGTTTTCCCGGTTCCATCAAGGTTTCCGGGTCCCTTAGGCGATTACCACCGGGACATAGCTTGCTAGCCTCTTCACCCGCGCCCTTTTGTCCGAGTTCTGGAGGTTTCGGCGCGCCTTCGGGCTCCAGCCTGGCTATCCCCCAGAGATCCATGAAAGCAGCTGCGGCACCATCTTCCTCCCACCCCGTCGCTCAGGCGGCAGGGCTGCTTCTCGGTTTTCTTCCTTGCCCATCCGTCGATGGGCTGGGAAAGGCAATAGACTAATGAGCTGTCCTAAGATTCAGTTTCCCCGGCTCGGGTTTAGCATGAGTTCCTCGCCTGTTAACTTGCTCGAGCAACCCCAGAATTTGGGGCTTGGTGTTTAACGAAAGTTCCGCTGAGCATAGACGGAACGCTCCCCCCGCCATTCCATTTACTATAACCATCTATGCGCGGTAGGATCAAGGAGTAAGATTCGGGGGACAAATCCGTTGGTCAGCTTGAAGTCCGGGAACATTTTCGGCAACTAAACTCTAGATCAGCCGCCGCCAGCTGTCAATTAAACTAGTAAGCTCTATCGGAAAGGAAAGGTCGGTCCCAGTGATCAACGGTGTACTGTGTATTTTTTCATGACTTAAGGCTGGAAGTAGCGAAGGGACAAGAAGCGACCAATGGAAAGGCTTAGCAACGTTTAGTGAGACTGGGAACACCGGCAGCTTGCGATCCCCAATTATCCTGCCAGAACTGAATTCACCCACTTGTTCCTCCAAATTGCCCTTGACACTCATTTGCAGATGTCTGTCGGATTCTTTTCTTTTGATCTCCTTCTATCAGTTTCACACCACTTCCTATGTAGAAGGAAGAGGTAAAATTAAAAGAGGTAGAAAAATAAAAGTAGGAAGAGGGAAAGAGCACCGCTATCTCTTATTTCTAATGCGATGAAACGATCCCTCGATTATACCGGGTTAGTGGATGGGTAGGTGGGCATTCTCTGTTGAATGGGTGGACTGTGCTCTGCGCTTTCTCGCTTGCAACTCGGGTGTGTGGCTTTTAAACAAGGAGAGAAAGGGAGAGGGAGAGAGAAAGATATGAAAAAAGTTTCTTTGTCAAGAAAAGCTGAGAGAGGTTTCTAACCAAGCAATAAGGAGCCACTGTATTCTCTATCTATTTGTGGTTCAACAGTCGTTTTCCCACTGTCCTAGACCCACAAGAAAATGACTTTTAATGTTTGGCTTGATTTTCTGCACGATTACTTAGAAGAAAGCACCATTGAATTCAGTGAACTTACTTCTGGGCAGTTGTATCTAAGGGTTATTTAAGCTGCAGTCCTAACCTTACCTTTTTGGAAACATTATTTTTTACTACTTATCTTTGGATTAATCAGTGCATTTAAATAAATGAAATACACATTTGATACAAAGCCCACTTGGTTTTTACAGACCCACCACGCTGCAGTTTTCAAGGCATAATGGTTGTGGGGGCAACAGCTTATCTGCAAACAATGCTTTAATATCTCTGTTCTTTTTCATTTCAGGGCTACAGCTGAGTTTGAAAGCAGAATAAATTTAGAAAACCGGGGCTGGCAAGCGGAAAACCTGCAGTTTGAAATGATAAGATTCAACTTAGTGGTTCTCCAAATTGTCTTGAAATAGGCAGCCTAAACTGTGAACAAAGAGAAAGTACACTATTTGAAAAATACTGTGGTTTCACTTTTTTAAAAAAAAATGAAGGGGCTGGCTATGTATGTAAATAAAGATTCATTTTATAAGTTAATGGGCAGTAAGAAATTCTTTCTTCCACCAAAATCTTCAGCAATTCTGAGTTGCTCCCAGGCTTCCTTCAATTTCTCCACCCCAACCCAAATTGAGAGTTCTGAAATCGTGAAAAGCCCTCAAACTAGGGGGCTCTTGGCGGCTGGTGAAGGGGGGGGGGTTACTGCCGTTGTTCTAGCGCCCCCGCTGTCAGTCTGCAACCAACCCAGGGTGGATCTGGAGGAACCCTTTCCCTCTTTCTGTGTTTTGCAGTGTCAATCATAGGGCATATTGCTTTCCCCTCCCCCACACCCTTCGTTCCCCCTACTCCCCAACTACCATTTAGTAACATCCCAGCTCTGAGAGTCCGCCTCTGAGTGGCTCGCAGCAATCTGTCAACTGAGCCGGGGAGCCACCTCTCAACAGATCCGGTTACTTTTGATTGACAGCGTCACCATGGCAAATAATTTGATTAAAAGTATTGTCTTCTCCTTGGCAGTCCCCGAGTCGGATAACTGGACCAATCACTGCGCGGCTAATCACTTTTTCATGCCAGTTTAGAACAACATTTGGAAGGAGAGAGGCAAGGAAGAGCAAAAAAAGAAAGGGGGGAGGACGGGAGGGGAGGAAAGAAGAGAAGAATCGGCAACGAAAAGAAAAGAGAAAGGGAAGAGAGGAGAGAAGGAGGAGGAGAAAGGGAGGAAAGGGGAAGCGGGGATTTAAAGGACTTGATTCCATGTAAGCGATCCTATGGCAGAAAGGGGGGGAAGACAGAGAGGGAGCGAGGAGCGCGCGAGCGAAAGAGGAACTCGCGAGCCCGGCCAGGGGGTGGGGAGAGTGAAAGTTCCACTCTTGCAAGTGCCGCTTCGCTCACACAATAGAGGCGCAAAGTTTGACGGTCGGAACTCGGGGACTTACAAACAAACACCGGAGCCCCAAGTTCGGGCGCGGGCGCTGCGCGGGAGCCTCCCTCGCGGGCGAAGCTTCTCCGGCTCCATGGGCGCCCCGGCCGGGACAGGGGCAGCGGCGCTGACCTAGCCCCAGGGCTTGCGCTCGGAAGTCAGCCGTTCGACCGCGCTGTGGTTGGCTGCTCCCTCGCGGAGCCCTCTCCTCATTGGAGCCCAGCGTCGCTGGCTCACGCGCGCCCCCCGACCGCCTCCCCCCCCTCGGCGTTTCCCCCCCAGGCGGTGCCTGCGGGGCGCTGGGTCCGGACGGGTGCCCCCTTTCGGCCAGGGTAGATGCGATAAGAGGGCCGGCGGCAACGGCAGGAGGGCCTACCCGGGCGCGCCACCATGTCCATGCTGCCCACTTTTGGCTTCACCCAGGAGCAAGTGGCTTGCGTGTGTGAGGTGCTCCAGCAAGGGGGGAACATCGAGAGGCTGGGCCGCTTCCTCTGGTCGCTGCCGGCTTGCGAGCACCTTCACAAGAACGAGAGCGTCCTGAAGGCCAAGGCCGTGGTGGCTTTCCACCGAGGCAACTTCCGCGAGCTCTACAAGATCCTGGAGAGCCACCAGTTCTCGGCGCACAACCACCCCAAGCTGCAGCAGCTCTGGCTCAAGGCGCACTACATCGAGGCCGAGAAGCTGCGGGGGCGACCCCTAGGGGCAGTCGGCAAGTACCGGGTCCGCCGCAAGTTCCCCTTGCCCCGCTCCATCTGGGATGGCGAGGAGACCAGCTATTGCTTCAAGGAGAAGAGCCGGAGCGTCCTGCGGGAATGGTACGCCCATAACCCTTATCCGTCCCCCAGGGAGAAGAGGGAACTGGCCGAGGCCACCGGGCTCACCACCACCCAAGTCAGCAACTGGTTCAAAAACCGGAGGCAGCGGGACCGGGCGGCGGAGGCCAAAGAAAGGTACGAGTAAGTAGAGCCGTCTTCCTCCCTTCCGCTTCTCTGCAGGAAAAGCTCCGCTTTGGGGACAGTCGGGAAGGCTTAGCTCGCTCCTGCCCGAAGTGCGCTGCACTGACCCAGGGGGTGAGCTCTCTTCCCTTCCGAGCTAACCCTCGGGGGCTTGGGGCTGAGGTTAAGAAAGGCACCCGCAGCCTGGGAAGGGTACAAAGGAAGGGAAACGCAGGGCTGCATTGAAACGTCTTTCTTTTCTTTCTTTTTTAAAAAAACTTTTGGAAAAGTTAGTCTAGGGAGGGGGGATGCCCAGGGGAATCGGTTACCACAGGGACCAGTTTGTTTTATTCGACAGCAAAATCGGGCTGTGGCCAAGATAAATATCTCTGATTCGACTTGGATTTCAAGCCACGTCTTCGGAAAACTAGCCGAGTAGATAGAGAAGTTAAGTTTTCAATGAACGGGAGTGAAGTATTAGAAAGAACTTCCTTGAAGGGAAGCCAACTGGCATTGTTCCTTTTATCTGTATCTCTAATTTCCTAGCCTAACACCACAAAAGACAAGAACGTAAAAGACAAGAACTGTCTAAATTGCCAGTTAAGGCTGTCGTTGCCAGCTCAGAAGTAAAAACCATACGGATCAATGGATCAACCCTGTGCTAAAGATCTATAAAGATTGTAGCCTTTCAAATTTCATTGTAACAGGGGATTTAATAAGAAGGAAAGCAATGCCCCGAAATCTATAACTGAAAAACAAATTGACCACCATCAACCAAGATGTCACAAGCTCTGATTTTTTTTTTAAAAAAAACCTTATTAACCAATTGTCAATACAATAAGCTAAAATACGCATTTTTAATATCTTTGCATCTATATCTAAATAGTATTGAATGTCACTTCACTGTGGGTGTATGTATGGTGCTTTTAAAATGAGGCAAAAAGGCCTCCAGCTCTGGATGGAATAATGTATTCTTCACAAGAGGTGCTTGTGAGTGGGAGGGGGGAGTGCCCTCCCCTGCCCTCATCGCTTATACATTTTAATCCAGAGTGATGATCAGAATTGAATAGTGTCTGGGGTTCACTCCTAAATCCCCAACTGATTTTTTTCAGTGGCAAACTCCCTTGAGTTTTTCTTAGATGTCAGTTTAATAGGCAGTGAAGTGTATATTTAAATAACTGGTCTCTGGACTTTGTTTTTATCTAATTCCATTCTTTAAAAACACACCCGCTTGCACACATTTTCTTGAAAATAAATCCCAGGAGTTTCAGAACTGTTTAAAGTTTGACCATATAGTTGCTTATCTATCCGGATGGAATTTCCTTTCGTTTCATTAAGACTTGCTTCCGTGTCAATAGGAAGGTTGGTGGAGATTCTAGACATTAGACCAAGTGATAATGGGTCAAGAGTCCCCAAATTTCCATACTATCAACACAAACAAGTTCTATCCATTTCCAAGAAACAATCCAAGTATTCGGGCTCTATAGGAAAACAATGTATTTCTTCCCCCTTCCCATGCCTTTTTTCTATTTCTTTTCCTTTTTGCTGAACTTGCCCTTCTAATGCCAAAGCAAGGACCTGGAATCTTCCCACTGACAGGAACCCTGCCTGGGCTAACTGATTTTAAGATTTAAAGACTGCAACCAGAATCACTGGTAGCTAGAGTCTAGACCCTGGGCCTTTTGGTTTACTTCCAGTGTATACCTAGATGGTCCCAGATCTAAATTATCTTCTGGGAGATGACTTTGTCCAAAAGCATTCCTTGACTCTTGGTTCCTTGACTCTTGGCTAGATTTGTTTTCTTCCAAAATCTGATGTCTGGGATTCTGAGATTCAGAAAGAAAGACAACCCAGGCCCCCCAAGACATCATAAGGTGCCACGTCTCCAGAAGGCAGTAAGAAGAACCCCTCTCCATAAATATTGCAGAACGAGGAGAGTTTTATGCCGAAAAAAAATTGAAGGGGGAAAAAAGTCACTTAGCGGCACAACTGGAACTGTTGTATTAGGCAAATCTGAATTATTCCAAAGATCCAACGGGTCAAAAGAAGAGTTCCAGACAAGGTGGCTTGATATTCTGCAGGTCTCCAAGCTTCTTCCATGTGTATCCACTCGTGCCCTGGGTGCCCTTATTGGAAAGTGTGGCCTGATGAGAAAGATTTCTCTGAAGTTCATTTTGGCCTATGTTTCAGAAACAGCTTATTTCATCTCGGGGGAGCAGCCTCTACTTCTTTGAATCTTGTAGTACTGTTTTCCAGGGACTGGCGTGAGCACTACTGTTTTGGAAAAGTCTGAATCTCTCTCTGTCCCTCTCTCCTCCTCTCCCCATTCTCTCCCCTCTCTTCATAGCTGAAAATGATATGAATTTTTTTAAATTTGATTTAGAAAACCAGGTGCAGGCAGGAAGAGAAAACTTTGCACAGTACAATCAGACTACATTAGCTGCTCCGCAGCCAAAACTGTGCTTTATGTAAATAATAGGAGTTTGGAGGGTTGCCGTTTGTTTTCAGGAGGCCTAGTGCAATTAAGAAAGCCCTTCACACATTCAGAGGGGGCAAATGTCAGTTCTCGTACAATAACCTACCTGAAAAGAGATGAATTTGACACAAAGGTATCCAGGTCCCTGGCGACTTTCATTGTTGGCACCTCCTATCCGGTAACTAAAGGCAAAGCTACTTTTCAAATGAGCCAAATATTGGTGGAAAATCAAAAGCACAGTACCAGTTCCCACCAACATCTGGGGAGACCTACTTGATTAATTGGATCTAGTCTCTGTACTGCAGTCCCTGACCAAAAATCTAGGTAGAGGTTTTTCCCGATAAAGTGGACTGCACTACTGGGTTGGACAGCTGGACAAATATGCAAAAGTAGATTACACGAGGGGGGCAACCGCTCATCTAAATAAATAGCCCCACATTCCCAGAAAAGAGGCATGATTTTGGGAAGTGAGACTGATAGAATACGGTCCTAACTACGTAGAAACCACCATTTCACACCTGCACATTTTAGAAAGGGTTGTAAAACTTTAGGTACAGTTGCTGAAACACAAGCAACTACCAAGGTCGACTTTCCCTACCGCTGATGGGCATTGCATCCACACATGGGTTAGAATGGCAAAGCTTTGCGGGCCTTTGCATGCTTCTCGGGAGGACTTTACTCTTGAAGAAAAACGCACAAGAATGCAGACCAAGCCCTTCACTGAGTGGCCAAATATGGAACACCGTAATGATAGGGGAAGGAATCGCAGGTGGCTATCGAGATTCAGACAGGAAAGGTTTCTGTTTACAATCAAAGCCAACCTTTGCAGATTTCAACCCAATGTCTCTTCCTGCACGTATCCAGGCAGGACACCTTCCCGACCGATAAATAACTTGACACGAACTTTCTTTCAGTCCGGAATTCCTATCCCCTGAGACCCAGGAGAGCAGAAGCTTCTTCAGGGCAACCATTTCCTAGCCACCTGGGTTACGTGGGTGCAGCCTTCCGTTGGGAAGCTTACGGAAAGCGACGGCTGTATAAACGTCACGGATTTCTCCCGGATTGTTAATAAACAGACGAAATTAGAGATCTCGAAAACTGGAAATACGGGGAGTGGGGTGGGATGGGGTGGGGGGTGGAGGGGTGGGGAGAAATGGCATTGCTTTTAGTTCATGGATCTGGCAATCGATCCAGGGGACCCTGAGGTGTGTGCCATTGGGTTCCCTATCGCAAATCTGGAGCTTTGAAAGGACACCGAGCTGGGTAGCCTTTAGCGCGAGCATAAAGAGCCGCTTGATCCGAAAGCCAATTTTAAAGCACGAAGTTTGACTGGATCGGATCGAGGCATTAGGATCGAATTCACGCCAAGCATTTGAGCTGCTTATTTTTTGGGTGGAGGTGGAGGAGGAGGAGGAGAGCTGCCCGGGCTGACCTGGTCTTGGTGAGACATCATCTTTAACTCCCACGAGCACCAACCGGAAGGCAGTAGTGCGGGCGCACAGTTTGGCTACCGAAAAGGTAGAGCAAAATGTGTGCCTCTCCCCCCCCCCCCAGTAGGAGTCAACTCATTGCCGAGTCCTCAAAGCAGGATGGTCCCTAACAAAATGATCTCTGTTTTTGAGAGGGACGCAGGCATCGACCCAAAGCCCAGCTGCCTTCCCTTGACCAGAGGTTCCTTTCAGAGAACGGTAGAGAAGTGCCCTTACTCAGAACTTACTTGCATAAGAGTCTTAGCCAATAGCTACGACTACATTAATTAAATGTAAATATATTTGCATCCTGGTTTATGCCCTAGTTCTTCTTCTTTTTAATTGGGGTTGCAGCCTTAGTGCCACTTTCTGTGTATCCTAACATGACTAATTAGACTCCAGTCATGTCAGGAGACCACAAAAAGTGGCACTGAGGCTGCAATACCAATTTAAATAAAGAACTAGGGCATAAACCAGGATGCAAATTTATTTACTTTTAATTAAAATGAAAAATAGTTGGTATGCTTCCTCTTTGGTCATGTGAGGAATTTTCCGTACGGTCTACAACTCCCCCCCTTCTCCACCGCCTGGTTTCTGTTACATAAGTATTAACTTTGGTAACACAATCTTTGGAGGTCAGGAGTGGGGAGGAAGATATGCATCCGAGGCTTCCTGGGGTCTTGGATACAAAATAGGGGTACAGTATTAGAAGGCGCATTGAATGGGAATCCCCCGCCCCTTGTGTTTAATCGGAGGATTTGACTTTTCGACCCCTTTTGAAACTCTGCCTAAAACTCCGACGAATTGTACCCGGCCTTTCTGAGCTCATCAGAATGTTCTCCCTGGTGCATATGATCAACAAGAAAGTCTTTGGGGATAGTCTTATAATAAATACAGAACATAATAATACTTATTATTTATGTGTCGCCAAACATTCAGTCGCTTAAAAGCAAGCTCTCTCCTAAAAGTGTTGGCATTTACTTTTGAGTAAAGATACCACAAGATCCACATCAAACGGTAAATTACAGCTTTTTTTCTTGATATAAGTGCAGGCAAATTTGTTTTTGCTG